ACGATCGACAAGAACCCTAAATTTTTGTTGTTTCAAAATTTTGTACCCCATTAGGTTGCGCAAATCGGTGGATATGCGCTACTATTAAAATGATATTAGCTAATATATGTCAGCAAAAAAAAAATAAAAAAAAAATTAATTGTGTCAGCCATACATATATATTAGTCATGTCAATCAAAATATTTAGAAAAAAAAAAAATGCCCAAAAATAATGAGAGCAAAAGTAAAAAAAACAAATATTTCTAAAACAAGTGTAAATGGTGGTGGTTGCAATCACCACTCATCACTCTAGTTATAAAAAAGATAATTATTAAAATACTTCTTTTATAAATAAATAATAATAAATAAAAAAAGAACCCTACTTCCAATGAACTCTGAGTTAATTAGTTTTGGCAAGGAAGATAATGAATTCATCTTCCACCCTAACATCATCTTTTGCTCCATCATCATACATAAGTAAATAGGTAAATTATACATTAAATAAAGAACCCTTTTATTATTTAATCTGTTTTAAGAATTTAATTTCAAATTGACTTTACTTCACATTGCAGGGTCATAAGAATAGTAACTATGATGTTAAAGAAATAAATAAATTCATAAGGCTTGTAAGGAACTTTTTACAAACAAGGTCAATAATGTCACTTTCAACAGCGAATGAACCTGTTCTTCAGGTAATTATTGAGTTGCTTCTTCCAACAGAATGTTGAATACTGGAGTTGTGTCTTGTGATTGATTGGAAAAAAAGAGAAGGGATTGGGATGTTTTGGTTTTGCTGACATTTTCATTTTCAGGAGAATCAGATTAAATAAACAAGATAAGGATACAATCTTAGAATTAAAGTATATTACATTTAAAGACTAGTGCTGTAAATTATGATGGTATTTACAGCATATAAAAAGTGGTTGCAATTACCTTTGTGACCACTTTTGCAACCATACTTTTTCCTTTTTTGGATTACGGCACTAGTCATTAATTACATTGTCAGGTTTGGCAATGGGTGTTAAAGGAATTTGGGGAATGCATTTCAGTGCTGATGAGTTAAATAAATTAGATATGAAAATTGAAAGTGAAAATGAAGAAACTTTATTGGATAGGAAGTATCTATATTGGTCAAAAGAAGTCTAAAAACCAATAACTACAACAGTGCATGAGATTTTGAACAAAGGAAAAAAACAGTTGAATATATATATGAACACTATTGCAAAAGGCAAAGCAATTGGATCAAATCCAGGAGTTTGTGATACTCGGATTAAGGTGACTAAGTCAGATCTAAACAATAATAAACTTGAGGGATTTGTTTTTATGGTTATTGGATTCCGATGTATTATATTGAGGAATGTTGAGGTATTACTTTCAAATTATAGGTATAACAAAAACTAGCAATGTCATTTTAACTTGGTTTGAGATTCATGTTTGAGATAAAATGTGTACACTATTATAATAATGTAATATTTGTATACAGATAATTCAGAGTTACTTATTTTCTACTCTATAACCATTTTAAAGTCTTTATCAATAAAAATCATTCACATATTTGCTTTCTTTAAAAACATATTTGTTAATTGTTTGTGATTATAGCCCAAGTTTTCTTTGTATCAGAAAAAACTATCCAATAAGATGATTTTAACATCATGCAAATTACATGAGTGATTACCCATATCCAAAATGGGCATATGAAGAAACATGATAATATAATGTTCACTTGTCTGGTTTTGTTGCAGTATGCCCCATATAGTAAAATAAAATTTACTAAATTCTCTTTATTTCATTGATCAAAAATAATTTCACATGATATTTTCCCACATAACCCATAATTTTCTTAAATTCTACTGGCTAAAATTCATTAGTCTGCTTGTACATATCACAATGATTTTCTTGAAATTTATTGGCTAAAATTTGTGCATGTGATAAATTTTAAAAACTTTAATCAAAAAAATATTAAGCGATTTTATTATTTTTTGTTGTTTTTTATTAATCACCAATTGAAGAAATGTGTACATACCCACAGTGTTAACATCAACAAAAAGTCGCTAGTGATTTTTTGATTAATTACCAATCGAAATGTTCACCACAATAGTGCAGTGTTTTGATATTTAAAAAAGATGTACCACAGTTAACAAAAAGTGTTAGCATTTTTTTATGTACTCACTGCAGTATGGCTGTGTTAATTTAATGATTTTAAGGGGTAATGAAAATATCTTTTTTTATACATCTAAACTCAATAAGTCAGACATTTATTTATATTATGAACAATTGATTGCTGCATCTGAGTTATTGAGTTTAGGATGTACCATTAAAACTAATTTAAATTAACAATATGTACTATTTTTGCCAGATTCATTTATATAAAATCAATAATTTGAAATTGACAACTTGTTAAAAGGAATTGCAGTTTTCAGAACAGGCATTGATGAGTATGAAATGAGTTAATTTTTAAAAATTTTGTGTGAGCAGCAACAATGGTGAACATTCAAGGAAAAGATTGTTGATTATTTCAAATATAATAACCCATCAGGTGTGAAACTATCGGAAAACAACAAATAGTTTATGATCTGGTGGTGGTGGTAGTGGTGAAAGCTTTCAAATTAATAACATAGTACAGGTTGTGGGGTGCTCTGTGCTGGAAAGTGGCAATAAATATGTAAGTGTTGATTGATATATTTTAATTAACAATGATAATAACCAAAATTGCTCAAGATTTGGTTTGACTTTTTATAAAATTAAATTTCTTTCAGCTAACAATAGCACAAACAACCAAGATTTTTTTTACCAATAAAAATGATAATGGCAATAATAATGATGATGGTGATGATGGTGATGATGGTGATGATGGTGATGATGTTAGAGATGATGATAATAATGATTATGATAATAATAACAATAGTAGCAATAATAACAATGAAGAACCTTGATATGAACATGTTATGTTAATTTCATACTCAATAAATCCAAGGTAAAAAAAATTCTTTTGTGATCAAATTAGCATATTTATATATAACAAAATTTATTTATATAAATATTTATTTAAACATTTTTTTAACAGGTTTCAACATGTAAAGGATAACCTAAAAAAGAACCACAATCTCTGTGGTTGACAGATTAGTACCAAATGCAAGCAATTTTCTACATTTGGAGGCGTTGGAATTCACTTACACAACCATAGAAACATCATCATCATCATCATCATCATCATCATCATCATCATCATCATCATCATCATCATCATCATCATCATCATCAT